CATTATCGCTGATGTGAGCACACCCGTCATCGGTTCTGACTTCCTCAGTTTTTACAATCTCCTACCAGATTGTCGAAACAAACGTCTCATTGATGGAAATACCAAACTTTTTGTTTCAGCTTGTGTTGCACAAATTAACCAGGACAGCATTAAAGCAGTCTCTTTTGGTGACTCAAGTTATGCGTCTGTGCTTGCTGAGTTTCCAGACGTCACGCGTCCTCCTGGCATGCCAAGGATTGTCAAGCACAGTACCGTGCATCATATCAACACATCTGAGGGTCCCCCTGTGTCATGTCGTCCCCGTCGTTTGGCTCCTCAGAAACTGGTCGCTGCCAAGAAAGTGTTCGAGGACATGGTACAATGTGGCACAGCGCGTCCTTCAGAAAGTGCTTGGTCATCTCCGTTGCATATGACAACCAAGAAAGACAATACCTGGCGTCCATGTGGCGATTATCGCGCCTTGAACGCCAGAACAATTCCGGACCGATATCCTATTAGGCATATCAACGACTTTGCCAATAGCCTCGCTGGTGCGTCTGTATTTAGCACCATAGACCTTGTGAAGGCTTATCATCAGATTCCCGTCTTTAAGGAACATATTGCGAAGACCGCCATCGTAACTCCGTTTGGCCTCTTCGAATTCCCTTTTATGACCTTCGGTTTGAGAAACGCTGGTCAAACTTTCAGCGTTTCATCGATGAGGTCACACGGGGTCTCGATTTCTGTTTTCCCTACGTAGATGACGTTCTCGTTTTTTCTCGGGATGCTGCCACTCACAAGGAACAACTGCGCCTTCTTTTTAAGCGTTTCCAAGAATACGGGGTTGTGATAAACCCCTCAAAATGCATTCTTGGTGCCAGCGAGGTTTCTTTCTTAGGCAACTTGATAAATGCCGAGGGGACTCGTCCTCCTAAAGATAGGGTCCAACACTTAATAGATTTTCCACCGCCTGAAACTGTACAAGGGATGAGGCGATTTCTTGGTATGATCAACTACTATCGCCGTTTCATACCCTACGCCGCTAAGTTTCAGGCGCCATTAATTGACGCTCTTGTTTCGACAAATAGCAAGGGAGCAAAACCTTTTCCTTGGTCTCCGGAATTGCTAGAAAAGTTTGAGGCATGTAAGAAGAGTCTGTCAGATGCAACGCTTCTACAGCATCCTGTCAACGATGCACCGCTGGGTCTTTTTACGGACGCTTCCAGCGTACATGTTGGCTCTTGCTTACAGCAACGAATCGATGGACAGTGGTTTCCTCTTGCATTTTTTAGCAAGAAACTAACCCCGCAACAGTCTCAGTGGCCTGCTTACCATCGAGAACTTTTGGCGGTGTACGAAAGCGTACAGCACTTTCGCCATACTCTTGAGGTCCAACACGCCACTATTTATACGGATCATAAACCGCTGCTGTACGCCTTCGTACAGCGTCGAGAAAAGCTCGCGCCTGCACAGCTAAACCAGCTGTCCTTTATAAGTCAGTTTACGACTGACATAAGATACGAGTATATTAAAGGCGAAGACAATGTCGTTGCAGATGCTATGTCCCGTATTGACGCAATCTCATTAGAACAGGAATATGAGACTCTCGCGAAATCACAAGAGACAGACGACGAACTGTCAAAACTAATGACAAACTGTTCTTCAAGCCTTAAACTGACCAAAGTTGTAATACCTGGCACTGACCATTCTCTGATTTGTGACCTCTCAACGGGCAAGCCCCGTCCCTACGTTACTCCGGATTTTCGCCAAGCAATCTTTGCCAAGCTCCATGGATTAAGCCATCCTGGTGCTCGGGCCACTACTCGCCTTGTGACCGATCGATATGTCTGGCCCTCCATCAACAAGGACTGCCGAGCTTGGTCCCGATCTTGCCAAGCGTGTCAGCGCAGCAAGATTACGCGGCATAACTGCACCTCTGGGCACCTTCGAAACACCATCTGGCCGTTTCATGCACGTACACACGGACATCGTTGGTCCGTTACCGGTTTGTTCCGAGTATCGTTACTGCCTGACGGCAATTGATAAGGTTACCAGATGGCCCGAAGTTTGGCCTATGTATACCGCTACGGCAGAGGAATTTGCTGACACCTTCACAAGGGAGTGGGTCCCTCGATTCGGCGTGCCTTCGCTAATAACAACCGACCGAGGAGCTCAATTTGAGTCTTGATTTGTTTCGCCGTCTTATGCAGAACTTTGCCACCAAACGCATTCGTACCACTGCATATCATCCGGCCGCGAACGGCATGATAGAGCGCGTCCATCGGCAACTTAAGGCCTCTTTAATGTGTCACGAGAATTCGTGGATCAAAGCCCTTCCCTTTGTCCTTTTGGGAATGAGAACGGCTTTCAAAGAGGACCTTAAGGCCACAGCCGCCGAAATGCTCTATGGCGAAACTCTACGCCTGCCTGGTGAGCTGTTAGTGTCTGTTCCTGGCCCTGACAAAATTGAAGACGCATCAGACTTTGTTGCTCAATTGCGCCGTCGCATGTCGAATATTCGACCCGTCGGCGCCTCTCGACATTGCCAAACCATGCCTTTCATATTTAAAGACCTCGCCAATACCACTCACGTGTTTCTAAGGGATGACGCTGTTCGGCGTCCCTTACAACCCCCATACACCGGACCTTATCTGGTACTCAACCGCGCCGACGACGGTAAGACCCTTACCATCAATTTCAAAGGCAAGCCGGTCGTGGTAAGTATCGACAGAGTCAAACCAGCATTCGTTGAAAATGTAGTTTCGGATCAAACTAGGACTGTCCAGAAAAACCTTAAGCCTCCAGAAGCTGCTGTACTGCCTCAGGCTGACAATATGTCTACTGAGCCTGCTTCAGCCGCCGCTGTACCCAAGAACTCTTCTACATCGACTCAGCAAACTCTTTATGTTACCCGATCCGGCAGGCGTGTTAGATTTAAAACTTTAGACTGTTTTTTTTTTAGTTCAATTTGTTTTTTTTTTCTTGTTATTTTTCTCCGTGGGGGGGTGGTCTGGCAACATTGTTGCACATCACTATGATTGAAATACGTAGCATCATGACAGTGCAACACTATTGCCTGTCAGTCTCTCGTGTCTATGACATTCATTCTTTTAGCTTGCTACAAAATTGCTACTGTAACAATTGGTGATTATATATAAAAGTTAAATATAAATCTTATTTCTGTGAGACACATACGGCAGTTTTATTGACAACAACACGTAAAATAAACTGGTGTACTGGCCACCGTGATTTCGGGCCTTACGACACTAAAGATTCAACGAGCTCCTAGTTCATCGGCTAAATTTTTAATTTTTCTCATATATATATATGTATATGTGTATGTATATATATATATATATATATTTATGAGTATGTATATGTATATATATGTGTATGTGTGTGGTATTACGACGTATACACCAAATTCCAAAATAGTTGGTATTTAACAAAACCACTATCGTTTATACCCTATCATAAATGCACCTACCTCATTCTTTCTCAGCACCGCCCAATCGGTCGACTGGCAGAGAATGCCTTAGGCATTAAGTCCGCCGATGCATGTACTTGTGCAAAAAGTTAAAAAAAAAAAAAAAAAAAGATCAATAAGTTTATTTCGTACAAATGTGTGTTTACAATGCACAGCAATTAAGTAGAATAACATCAAACTACACGTTTTCCAAGTACCTCTACACTAATGTAATAAAGTTCTCAAAAAAATATACACAAAGTTTATCACTGAGCAGTCTATTTCAAAGTTTTCTTGTAGTTTTTGTATAGTCTTTGCCTTTATTCCGAAACTTGGACTCGAAACAGCATAATAATATTGTTACAAGCGGGGTTTACAATAAATAAAAGTTATCGGTTACTCACTGTTATTGCACTGTAATTACAAACACTCACTATTACAAAGAAAAAATCACTATATACTCCTAGAAATTCACTTCACAATGATCCCTAGTATTCAATAGTCCGTTCCAGACAAGAAGATTCCAGTGTCAGTTAAGCGTTACTTGCAGTGCCATCTAGCGTTGTAAATATCGGAATTTTTAATCACAATAGTTATACTTTACTCGGTACTAGATGGCGCTGTCCTCCTTCTTACTCCTTACATACAATTCTTGAATAAACGAACTATAATCCTATGGTGCAACACTATGTAGCCAGCAAAATCATAATGTAAGCACCTACCTAGTACCTGTACCTAGTAAATAGGATGTATTTCTTTTTAATATGGCAGCTGTCATTCTTTTGACGTCTATCATAGCACCAATGCCTACTGTACTTTCCAGCATTCTTAACCTTAAGATAAGAAATTAACTAGATGTATTTTATAAAAGTATACAATGTCACGTAAACCAACTACAAACAAACACATCAATAAAACAAATAGTCCACTGATCATCTCAACCGATTTAGTGCCGCACCATGTCGAAGTTCCTGAAGGTGTCGAAGAGACTGAAATAGCTGCACAAATATCAATACCCACAGAAGGTTGCTGGGGTTGGGTGGTAGTCTTTGCAAGTTTCTTAAACTTTTTCATACTGGATGGAATTTTTTTCACCTTTGGCAGCTTGTATCAAAACATGATAAGTGACTTGGAAGTCCCCGGCAGTCTAATTGCTCTCATTAACTCTGTAGCAATCGCTTTGTATTTCATGTGTGGTCCTATAGTATCAGCACTTGCAAATAGATTTGGATTTCGGGCATGTACAATGTCTGGTTCAATAATACTATATTGTGCTTATCTTTGTTCTTATTTTGTCAATAACTACGCCGCACTTCTACTATTTTATGGAGTTATTGCCGGATTTGGAGCGTGCTTAGTCCTTGTGCCATCATCAGTTGTGGTAGGATTTTATTTCGAACGCCACCGGGTTGTAGCATTAACCTTATCAGGCTTGGGCTCAAGTGTAGGGGTAATGATTATGTTTACTGCCAATTCGTACCTTGTAAATTTGGCTGGGTGGCGGATAGTTACACTAATACACGCAGGGTTATTTGGTATTATTTATTTTTCGGCCATGGCGTATCGGCCTTTACTTGTAGTAAAACTAACCCAAACTACAGAGAACAACGAGCGTACTCCTACTAATACTTACATACCAAGTTTGAGTAGAGCGGGGATATCAATGTCTACATCAAGAAGAGGTGTAATACAGCCAACAACAGCAGAACGGTTGTTTTCTGCTATCTCTAACCGAAACTTTCCAACAGCTGCCACAGTAGTTCAGGAAAGTATACAGGCGCCTACCAGTGAAGCTGGCCCCTCATCGCTACCTATATCCAAAATTATAATATCGCCACACAATACAAGAAGCTTAAGTCAAAAACACCTAAATAGATTACAATCAATCGTATCCAGTCAAAACAAAAATATAAATATAGAAATGGCTGTAAACAACGTGCGTCAACGGAGACGAAAATGGTGGGAAAGGTTTTGTTGTAAATGGGAGGAACATGTACCACAATCCCGACCCATGTATCGAGACGATGCATTTTATGCTGGCAAAATTAAAAAACTACCAATTTACCAAAAAAGTGTTTTAGAAGTTCAACCAGAAGCAAGAACGGGTTTAGAATATCAGCTGGCTGTATCACGAGCAGTTGCTGCTACAGATTTAGAAGAACATAAAGGTATATTTACTACTGCCGCAAGAAGGGTTTTAGCTACAATGATGGATCCCAAGCTATTAAACAGCTGTCCTTTTTTACTAATATGCTGTAGTGCTGCTCTGATATACACAGGTGTATTAACACCTTTTGTTTTTGTATCAGATCGCGGTAAGAGTGAAGGAATAGATAAAACACATTGTGACTTCTTCGTTAGTGTTATCGGTTTCTGTGGTATAATAGGAAGGTTTTTTGCCGGAGCTCTAGCTTCCAAATTTGAGGCCCTAATATTGTATTTAGTTTCATGTATTTTAGCGGGAATATCAACAATGGCTTTTAACTTTTCATTTAATGTTTATTATCAATATTCTTGCTGTGGATTCTTTGGAATATTTACTTCATTTACTTCGGGCTTACGAAGTGTGGTACTTGTAGAAACTTTCGGTTTAGAGAAGTTAACAAATGCAACTGGATTGATGTTAATGTTTCAAGGTTTTGGAAGTTTGATAAGTACACCTATGTCCAGTTTACTCAAAGCAAATTTTAGTTATGCCGTTTCATTCTACATGGCTGGTGCAGCAATTGTACTAAGTGGTTTAATTTTATTGCCTGTTAAAACATTAATAGACAAAGAAAGAAAAAACACTTTGCCAAACAAGAGAACAGGCAGAAATTCACAAAAGAAGTAAATGACAGTTGTAAACATTGTTTTATTTTTTTCAGCGGTGTGCCAAAGCCATACTGTTTTATATGATGTGAAATATAACGGATATTAGTAGTTTGTGGTTGAGAAGAGCGAGCCAATGGTGGTGGCTACGTCTCTTACAGTTTTATGACCCCAGTGTTAGTATTTAAATGGTAAACTCAGGCATAATAATGCCTGATATCTTGATATCAATTAACTAATTTTTATTTTAAGTTATCAAGTAGTTCTTATAGTTGAGGAAGTATTCTGTACATTGCAAGTTTTAAAGTACATCAAATACGTGATGCTTAAATTAAAATAAGATAGTTTCCAGCCTATCAATTATAAAGGAAAATGTAAGGTCTCTGAAATGTTGGGATCTACATTTATATTTTAAAGTAACACATTGTTTTTATTTACCTTGTATTATTACACAAAACGCCATGCTGTGCACGCTGGACAACGGAAAATGGGCATTGTCTTGAAGGAGTTTCCTATTTCGAAGTACTTAGGTACTGTTCTGCTGAGGTGGATTGTCGGGTCAAAATTTATATAGACTTAGAGCAGTGGACATGCTCGAACACAGAGTTGGTTCCGGCCGTAACCATTTCCCGGTATCCTAAAAATCTAAATAATGAATTACGTGATGTATTTTTTTACAAGAGGAAGTAGGTAGAGTGTTATATGTGGATCACGGGGTACGGTAGATAATTTGTTTATGGCTTCGACTGTATGTAGGAATGTGTACGCAAGTGAACAAATGTATAATTTACACGTAGATATCTCCCGTAATCCGACCAATTGTTGTTATCGAATTTGAGCAGGAGAACTGAGATTTCGATCAAAAGGGAATAACGAAAGTATTTCTATGTGTTTTCAATTTGTATTACAATCAAATGAGTAATATTTCTAGAATTTTTATTGCTTTTTGTTTTAATGCCTAGTGCTTCTCATAATGCAAAAAGCCATTAATAAATATATTGTTTTGAGTCCAGAAATCCCTTTTATATGAGATTTCTTTTCCCCGTTTATGTTAACCGTCATTGGGATCAGGAATCATTTTGATTTATAGCTACTTAAACTTATAATTTCATCACATCAACAGTCCACTGCTAGACATAAGCATCTCCCTAGAAAGGAGGTTTTGGCCTATTAAACAACGCTGGCCAGACGGGTTGGTATAGCGTTTGTGTCCAGTTTTTCTTCTCTTTATTAGCTGGTACCGGCAACTTCATTCGCGTGGAATTTGAATTGAAAATGTATACACCATTTATTTGCCACGAATCCTGCAAATTGAGGATTCGTTTTTTTTCACTACATTATTTATTATATTACATGTAATGAGTTAAACTCACACCATACACTCATTTAAAACATACACAAAGTAATACTGCAATCTACATGGGGTATACCAAATACAGCTATACATGTGTATTTAAAAATTGCATCATTACTCAATTACTATTAACTTTGATCAAGTTGAAATACCTTCTTATTACTACACACGTGCGGTTCAGTTCGAACCGCACTTATTTATACAGTCCTCGGTTCTTTGCATTTATTTACTGAAAAGGTATGTCGAAACAACTGCACAACTTTTTTTAAAATGTATTACTTTGTTTTCATTTATTGTTTGTTCATTTTATCAAATGATTTTTAAATAAAGTGTTTCCTTACAGTTTACGCACTGCACTAATAGAGTGTACATTTTGTTAAGCGTTTTTGACACAAATACAGGAGAAGCTGTCTATACAGAACTAGATTCCTATGGGTATGCTAATTCCCTTATGTGTAAACCTAAAGTATATAGTGAAAGCTACATTGACTGCATGAATACTTACCTATATACTATTGTCGTTAATCTGTATAACAAACATTTATCCGGGAATCGAACCCGAGACCTCTGCCAGCAGTCGCATACGCTACTACTATACCATCGCAGTCAACACCAGTCCATGAATTTTACTGCTACCAGAAATCACCCAACCCGAGCTAAAAAGTATTCACTTTAAAATTCCATAAAACCCTGTAAATGGTATCTATTTCAATTTTATCGCTCTTTAAATATCACTAATCTACTACACATAACTACAGATTAAGGAGAAGTTGCTAGTAAGTATTAACCAATGTTAGCCGAATTTTCAATATTAGTGTGCGTGGAGGCTTCGTCTTAGATTTACGTCACGAATAGGGATGGAATTAAATCACAATCACCTGTGATAAAAAAAACAGTCCTGTGACACACCACGACTTTACAAAACTAACTTATTATTATTACGCTAGCTCACGAAAGGTCTAAATCTAAAAAATCTATGGTCTATGGACCGGTCGAACGAAGTGTTTTTGTAAAAAAGTCTTTTTACACATTTTTCGGTCGCGCTCCCATCCGCTCAGAGCGTGTTACGCGTGATGAGGAACTGCGTTCAAAAAAAAGGTTAAAATCTCTGATAAAATCAATTTTGATGGATTTTAATTTTGTCTATGCATTTATTTTTGTCTATGATCAAGTCACAATCACAGGTAAAATGGCTGGGACTAAATCTAATCATATCATCATATGATTATGATTTAAAAGGAGCAATAATTACCATGTCCACGCGTCATTCTGCTTTCTTATTACGAGTCTCGTATGCGTCATAGAGTACTGTGAAATTTTTAGAGAGGAGGTTAATTACGTGCATAATTAATGATACTGGTCGTTGAAAATTTTCTTTAAAATGGAGAAAAATTACAAATGTTGAATCTATTTTTAATCTAGAAAGATATACCTACCTAGTCTAAGAAAAAACAATATGAAAACTAGAGTGACTGAATGAATACTTATACTTTTTTATAAATCGGTACATAATAGTAGGTATTTAGAAAACTCCGAAACAAATATTTGCAGATCGTGCGTACGTTTAACATTACTTAAATTCCATAATGTCACGTGTGCGGACGCGCTTACAGCGACTAGGGTCGTAACTTAGATCCAGGAGGGTTACAGTCAGCGAGCTGTAAATTTAATGGTAAGGCTTTCATGGCGTGGTGGTTCAATATATTTGGAACCAGTAAAAGGTGACAGGCAACATATATAATAGGGAATGGATTAATAAAAGACAATGTCATAACCGATATTAAACAGATTATAATTAAAAATTGCAAAAATAATCAATTTTAAAAGATTTAAATCATAATGACTGAAAGCACTAGTCTAGTTTTTAAAAAAAATCACTAAATTCAGATGGCCCTTATTTTGTTTTAAGTTAAGAAACGTAAAAGCCATTACGCTCATTGCTTATATGAATTAGGACTAAAGAAGTCAATTATTATTAAGTTTATTTATTATTACTTACAGAATCCCCAGGATTTATATTTACAGGAGAAAATTTGTACATTTCTTAGTTTAATGAAATTTAAATAAATGTCTGAGTAATTTTAACATCAAGGAATCACGAAAGGATAGCTGTTAATTTGAAACTTTAAGAAGTAAAGCATTATTATCTCTTTAAGTATTTGAAGTGTTTTTCTTATTGGTATATTTATTTTTCGAATTTAATTTTAATGATTTAGGGATGGTGCCATTAAACTATTCATATTAGGATCTTAGTTATTCAATGGCAATAAAAGAATTTGGAAGATGCGTAGTGCAGTGATTGCATTTTCAAGGTAAAGGTAAACCACAAAAAATATTTTGTGCATTTAAAAGCGACCAACTACGTCCTACAAAATTATAAACCAAAGTCATAACTTTATTATGAAAATAAATAGGTTCGCAAAGTAAATAAGAATTGTGAGTAAATAAGTACCTAATTTATAAAAAATATAGTCACATATAGGGAAATCACCATTGACCAATAAGTCTGATTACAAACTTTCTTTTTCTTTGTTAATAAAAGTTACATACAGTAATAATGTCTTATTAAGAATGATTAATTCTAAATTGTGGCAAATCTAAGTTTGTTAGTTTGAATGGCATGAAATAGAAATAGTGCGGTTTCTAACTTACTAAAGTAGAAAAAATGCCTTTATTGTCTTTGATTCAATGTTATTTTTTAGACAGCAACACTTATGAGTTCATGTTCGAGCGCATTTTGTTCTGCGACCGGCCGCCATACTCAAACAAAAAGATTTGAGATGAAAAGATAAATTTATATATATATTGGCGTTGTTGAAAGTGTTTAATTTGCTAAATGAGTTCTAAATCAGATGTAAATAGGAGAGTGCTCGCCATTCAGGCGAAAAAGAAACGTCATAAACTCGGTAAAAAGAAAAATCGTGAAGAGGATCACGGGGCTGGTGGACAAGGAAACGGTCTGCGAAACCAGAATCAGAATCGTTTAGAACCTACGCATAGCTCTTCCAATGAGACGATCGAGGAGGATGAAGATGAACAATATGCAAGCGACGACGAAGAACAGGAAGACAGCGCCGACTATTGTAAGGGTGGTTACCATCCTGTCAAAATAGGAGACTTATTCCTGAATCGCTACCACGTCACTAGAAAATTGGGATGGGGCCATTTCTCCACTGTGTGGTTATGTTGGGATTTAGTCGACAAACGCTTTGTCGCTTTAAAAGTCGTTAAATCTGCTCCTCATTTCACTGAGACAGCTTTAGATGAAATTAAAATATTGAAAGCAGTCCGAGACAGTGACCCAGCGGACCCCAAGAGAAATAAAACCGTGCAGTTGCTAAATGACTTTAAAATAACTGGTGTGAATGGGACCCATGTGTGCATGGTGTTTGAAGTTTTGGGTCACCACCTACTGAAGTTGATACTCAAGTCTAATTACAGAGGTATACCGCGAGATAACGTCAAAACGATAATACGTCAAGTTCTGGAGGGTTTAGACTACCTTCATACTAAATGTAAGATAATTCATACAGATATTAAACCAGAGAATGTATTGGTTTGTGTTGATGAACCTTATATTCGTAAATTGGCAGCAGAGGCCACTGAACTACATTCCTTAGGCTTGAGGCTTCCTCACTCCTTGATAAGTACTGCACCGAAGGAATTCCAAGAACAAGTAGTAACTGCTAAAATGAGTAGAAATAAAAAGAAAAAGTTAAAGAAGAAAGCTAAGCGCCAATCAATGCTACTTAAAAAACAAATGGAACAAATTGAAGAAATGGAAGAGCAGAAGAAACAGCTAAATAATAGTGAGTCTGCGCCAATGTCACAAGACAATGATGATTCACCTCAGACTCCGGAAGAGGCTAGTGTGATTGAGACAACTCGATCTGAAAATGAGCCTAATATCAATGGATGTAATGATTTAGAACAAGCTGACGAGGAAGCATTTGATACAGATGCTGATGCGGTACAGGTAAGGACGAAACAGTATGGGTGCGGGGATGATGCAGGAACTCCAATGTCCGAGGGAGAGATGACTGACACTCCACCTTCTTTTAATTCACAATCTACTAAAGGTAAATCCCTAGAAAAGAAATTAGATCCTGCGTTTGATGTCTGTGAACTTGAGGTGAAGATAGCTGATCTAGGAAATGCTTGCTGGGTGCACAGGCACTTTACAGAAGATATTCAAACTAGACAGTACAGATCTTTAGAAGTGTTGCTTAGTGCTGGCTATGGCACATCTGCAGATATATGGAGCACAGCTTGTATGGCATTTGAACTAGCTACTGGAGATTATTTGTTTGAACCACATTCAGGTGATGGTTACAGTCGAGATGAAGACCACCTTGCTCATATTATAGAACTCCTAGGTGACATTCCCAAGAGGATTGCAGCCTCTGGAAAATATTCTAAAGTATTTTTTAATAAAAAGGGAGAGTTGAGAAATATAACAGGTTTAAAACCATGGGGCTTAGTATCTGTGCTAACTGAGAAATATGAATGGAGTCAATCAGATGCTGAAGAATTTGCTGATTTCTTAAGGCCTATGTTAGACTTTGACCCAAATCGGCGTGCAACAGCCTATGAGTGCCTTCAGCACCCATGGTTGAATATTGTCATACCTGAACAAAATGAGTCTGAAAAATAATAAAACATTGCTCTCTGAAATGAATGATCATGCATTCATGAAATCAGTAGTGTCAACATACAAAGTATTTCAGTCTTATACAATTTTAATAAAAAGTTTATTTATGAATGTCTTTGTGAATAATTTACTTTGTATCTAGAGTTTTTTGTTAGCAATCCTGAATTATTTGAGAATAGAAATTGTGTATGACTATTAAAGACAATTGTGCTGAACTCCACTTATGCAAGTCTTGTGACCAGTGTCAGCAGCAAAGTATATAATACACAAGCTGCTCAGCATATACTTATTGATTGATAATGTAAAGTTATTGGCATACACTAGATGTCTTAAAATTACACAAACTGTACAGATAACTTTAGGAAAAATTGTGATGTATGACATGTAGACAATATAGGTTTTGTCACATTAATCTTTTAGGAATTTAGTTGACATAATGACATAGCTCTGCACTTAAATAATGTCCTGCAAAGGAGTAAGCAGTCATACATAAATATCCATTCAGGAAGTAGAATGTTCACATAGTTTAAGTTTGTGTTTAACATTATCACAATAAAAATCTCATTATGTAAACTTAGCTGTAAGACAGTATTTGTAATGCCACACCTCCGAGACTGCCTTTTTATATTTCAATGAGTCATCAAAATTTAACAATGGCTGGCATTCTAATCATACAGTATAAATGCAACGTCCTGAACCAGCTATTAGTTATAATTATTTATCATAGATCCCAATTTACATGAACATAATTTGTATTAATTATATCTGCAAATTTACATGAATAAAATGTCCAAACGAGCTTGTTACTATGTTATTTTTGTTTTTATTTTAAATTTTCTCTGTTTCCACCCAAAATCATCTAAAAGAAATGAGAATCCGTAATGGATAATAATCTCTTAGTTATAGATACTTCTGCACAATTTATAAAACTAAGGTGAGGCCGGAAAGTTTGCTGGCAGCTCCGTACAGCTCATTGTGTCTACAGTTCGTTATTGTGAAGCCAGCCGGCCTACATAATATACGGCCTATATAATACAGGTACAACGTTACGGTAACGCAACGCTACGCTCAAGTGTATCTACATAAACAATAGTTTGAAAGACCAGGGCCTCAATTCTGCTATGGCGTGAACATAAAATAGCAGAATTGAGGCACAGGTAGTATTACGAGTATACATGCTATGCTACCTACATGGTATTTAGTAGGTTGTACAATGTATGATGACAAAATTTAATTTCTGTTTATGTTCTCACTAAAATCTCTAGTTTAACATCCATATTTATAATTGTGAAAGTGAGTTTTTTTGTTTGATTTTAAAAATTGTTTTAACAATGGAAAGCTACATTACCAGCGAGTAACAGACTACTTTTTACTTCTAAAACCCACATAAACTCGGGCAAAAGCTATAATATATAAAAATAAAGGTGTTGGTCATGTGTAAAATTATTTTTGGTAAAATTATTTATAAAAAAAAAAATCTTTACAATTTTAAGAATACTATTAGGCATTAATGCACATTACAGTAAATATAGATGTTGGTAATGGAGAGAAACATTTTGTTTTAATTATAACGACTTGAATTTTTTGTTTATTTGTGATATTAGGTGTCACTGATCACCATCATGGATTTTAATTTAGAAAACATAATTTAGTCGCTAATTTGTCGCCAAATATCAGAATTAGTTGGTCACTGATTCAAAGTTATAAGCGTTTATAGGGGGCCCTGCTGTTGTATCTCAAAAACTAGGGCACCTAGCGAAGATCTGTTTTCTCCCAGTCGCTAATTTATCGAAATATCAGAACATGTCGGTCATAGGTTCATAAGTTATAAGCGGTCCTAGGTGGACGACCTAGGGTGAATCTTCCCAGGTCGGCCACGCTTATATCTCAAAAACTAGGGCACTTAGCGAAGATCTGTTTTCTCCCAAATTTAGTCGTTAATTTTTCGCACATTTATTTTTTCACAGATTTACTCGGGGTTTCATTTAGAAGATACATATTTCAATTAATTTCAATTGGTAATTTAGATAATTTATAAGGTGGATATAGTCTAAGAGCTAGATTGACTTGATTGAAAATAATATTTCAATTAGTGGCTATGTGTAATGTAGTTCTACGTAACTTCTTATTGATCCTATGATAAGATAATATGATTTAAATCAAAGTTTTGATAAGAAAAAGGATCTAGGTGATGATTTCTGGGATAAAAACTATCCATTTCCTTTCCTGGGACTCAAACTATCGCTGTACCTAATTTCATCAAAATCTGTTTAGCGGTTACAACGTGAAGAAGTAACAGACAGATACAGTTTCGAATTTATAATATTAGTATGGATGGTAACTAGAACAGGACTACGGCAGACCAAAGCATTACTTACTCACACAATATATAAACACAATTAGGTCAATGTTTATTTCAAAAAAAAAAAGATTCCGACACATTATTATCCAACAACACCCATCCCTACACACATACTCATTCTCAGTTACACTACACTGGAATACCGTGAACGAGCCATCAGCGGAACACCAAGACAAGACAAGTTTCCAAGTTACAGAAACTTCCTAGTTTGTACACCTAAAACGGTCGTAAGCATTTATTGGATTGTATAATAATTGTAATAAAGGAATTGATGTAAAAAAAACTGAATGTTAATTTGCTAGATTATTTTATTCACCATATTTGTTTACTTTCAGAGTTTATTAAACACAGTAAACATCTAATTTAAAACTTATCCAAAGACTTCTTCTGTTTATGTTGTCTTTACGAGGGCGGGTCAATAAGTCCGTGACTTTTGGAATAAAACACAGATTTTTTGATAAATAAATCATTTTATTTTTCAACGTAGTCTCACTTGAGCTCTATACACTTTGTCCAACGCTTCTCCAATTTTTTTATCCCTTCCAAAAAATATGATTTGTCGAGGTCCTCAAAATAGGCCTTTGTTTGCGAGATGACTTCATCATTGGAGTCAAATCTTTTTCCACCAAGCCATTTCTTCAGGTTTGGGGACAAGAAGTAGTCACTCGGAGCCAAATCTGGAGAATAGGGCGGATGAGGGAGCAATTCATAGCCCAATTCATGGATTTTTGCCATGGCAACTGCACATGTGTGCACCCTTGCATTGTCTTGGTGGAAAAGAACTTTTTTCTTGGCCAAATGAGGTCGGTTTTTTTTCGTCATTGAATCGGTCTAATAAGTTGGCATAATATTCCCCATTGATTGTTCTTCCCTTTTGAAAGTAGTCAATGTGGATTATCCCGCGTGCATCCCAAAAGACAGTCGCCATAACTTTATTGGCTGACAAACCCACCTTGGCCTTATTTGGCACCGATTCACCCTTAGAAACCCACTGTTTTGACTGTTGTTTGGTCTCTTGGTGTGTTGTGATGGATCCATGTTTCGTCCACGGTTACAAAACGGCGCAAAAACTCCTCCATATTACGATTAAACAACGCCAAACCTTCCTGTGAAGTTGTTACACGATTGCGTTTGTGGTCGACTGTGAGCAATCGCGGCACCCATCTTGCGGAAAGCTTTCTCATGCCCAAGTGATCATTCAAAATTGAAACCACTGAGCCAGGCGAGATCCCTACGGCTGCCACAATCTCTTGCACTTTCAATCTTCGGTCGGCCAACACCATATCGTGAATTTTTTCGATTGTTTCGGGTGAAGAGACCACAACTGGGCGTCCAGGACGTTCGGCATCTTCAGTGCTTGTACGGCCACAACGAAATTCAGTAAACCACTTTTTTACCATTGAAATCGATGGTGCAGAGTCCCCATAGTATTTATCAAGCTTAGCCTTGGTCTCGGTAATGGTTTTTTTTCGCAAAAAATAATGCTTAATATCACACGAAATTCACTTTTTTCAATTTTTTCCTCAAATTACTGGGTAGTCTGATAAAGATAGCTGTCAAACACAAACTAACTGACGCAGCAAGTTCAAATTTTGACAGGAGTCAACTGACAGATGCCTGTTGATAGGAGTAGTGTTGCTTTTTCAGTAAAGAGATCAGAAATTCAAAAAGTCACGGACTTATTGACCCGCCCTCGTATACAGATATATTTATAAAAAGAAATAGAAAGAAAAAGAAGAAAGAAGTTCCTAATACTACCTATTCATAATATGTTCCACTGTTAGCTGTGGCTGACTTTATCTTACGTCACGGGCAACTCGCTCTAAGTAGCTCGTTTGTACACGTACATCTATCTCTTTTTTAACTGCCTTAAATAAAGTCTATCTGCCAGCGAGTGTATATTTTATTCTTTATATGATTTTACTTATTGTAGATCTGTTGATAGGTAATGAATACAGCTTCCTTTTGGTGGGTTCGAATTATAGAATAACTTTAATATTTATATTTGTTAGGTCGTATCGGGTCAACAAAGAAACATTAATGTAATTTTTTATTGTCTTTCATTAAGTAGGTATTTTTAACATTTTACTTTAATAATTTTAAAGTAATAAATGATAAACCTTCATGAAAGCCAAATGCTCGTAATATTATTAGGTATTTATACATATAATCCCTGATTTAAGATTTTTATTTTTTTGCAACGTATTGTAGTACTTATATTTCAAGTAATAGATTGATACTTAGATACTTACAATACCTTAATTAATTTTTTTAAAGAATTTACTAAAGGTACAATAATTTTAACGTATATGTACATATATGTATTCTTATTTTGGCAACAGAAGTTTTATTATTCTAACCTAAATTAGAGCTTAACATTATAATTTATAGTTTTGGTTTGTGTATTTTGTTGTTTCGATTTTTTTTTTGTAATAAATAAATTAATGTACTCTAACGTAGTAGTTTAAAACATAATAATATGAATTTGATATGGAATTTATCTCTCTTTGACATTTCTAAGGACTTAAAACTAGAAGTAGGTACACATACATAATGATAAAAAAAAATCGTAAACTCTGCGATCTATCTCTTGGACTATACTTACTTTAAAAATTGAGCTCATTTTATCTTCTAACTAACC